GCCTGCATGCCATGTGATGTGTGTGGCTGTTTTTCTCTCCCCGACCACCCACTCCTCACCCCACAATGCCCCACAATGCAGGGTATCTGCCATCAGTACACGGCGTGGCACAGAAGTGAATGTGTGTATTTCTGTATGTGTACACTTTTGTCTCGGCTTCAGATGCGACAGCGGAGGGATGCACCAAACTGGCTAACGGCGACATGGAGTGCGCTACATTCAAAGATGTCTGCGATTATCACACGGTTCGCACGAGCAGACGCAGGGCACGATGGAGGCAGAGCTGATTGTGTTGTATGCAGTATGACTACGCCAACCTCGTGACGGTCGACAATAATGACAGATGCTGCTGTGACCTCGCAAGCCTCACCACCCCTACAACCACAGAAGTCGGTTGCTGCTGCGACGAGAGTGATCCGCCCGACACTTTCCAGAGCGCCATGTGCGGCACTGCGACAAAAAACCGACGGTTAGTTGCCTACTCACGCAGACAGCTGGCACGATGGAAATAATGTGTGTGTGATGTCTGGGATGTGTGGGATGAATGGCTTCTTGCAGTGCTGGTAGCGGACGTGACAATGACGAAGAGAGCGATGGCGGTAGGTGGGAGGGAGGGGAGGAAGAGGGGTGTTGGGTTGGGCTCACTTGTGCGCTGGCGTGTGTATGCAGGCCGAGACGGCACGAGCAAATAGGCTCACAAATTCTGGTAGGGCGACGCGGCGAATTTTCTGTGATGCCTCTCTTGATGGTTGGCTGTTTTTCTGACACTCTGGTGTCTCTGGTATTTGTTTAGCTACTAATTGACGTCCATCTGCTGCTGATTCTATGGAAAAGAAGCGACCCAAGCCGTCGGTCTGCTTCTGAATGTGCATGTTCGTGATGATTGCCTTTTCTGTCCTTCGTGTTGATTTCGCTTGCATGATGCCACTGACGCTGCTGGTGTGTCTTTGCCTTTGCTTTTGCCTTTGGTTGTCTGTCTGTCTGTCTGTCATCATCCGGTCTTTTCAGGTACCTGCGTGACTGATTGTGGCCTGTGGCATGGATGGATAGATTTCTCGGTCGTTTCTCGCTTTGATTGGATGTCTGGGCTCTGCGTGTCGACACGTCTTGTCTTTACGTGTGTGTCGACGGAAATGGGGGGGCTGTGCATGTGATTTGAGTGCTGAGGCGCAAAATGGGTGTTCTCTCACCCGTGGGTCAACGGCCCATCCTCCCTACCGTGTCTGTCCGTACGTGTGTACGAACGTACTCTGTGCCAATGGTCAGCGGAAGATGGCCAGGGCTTCCATCTGCTGTGGCCAGACGGGACGGAGCAAGAGCCAGCTCTGCCTTTGCTTGTGTTCTTCTCGGTGGATTGATATGTTATGCACGCGTGGCCCGGGGACACACGGGCAGTCATCAACCGATCGAGGCTGCCTGGAGTGAAGCGAAAGAAAGGATGGCTGTTCTTTTCTTTCAGCCATGCCGTACTGCCGTTTGTTTCGTACATGATAACGGTACATGCAAGTGCTTCATCGGTGTCTTGTCGCTTCGTGCTGTGACGATCGGTCACTACTGACGTACACCAGTAATGTCTTGACGTCAGTACTGCATTCGTCAAGCTTAAGAGACATCTCGGAGGCAGAGGATGCAAACCTTAGATGAAGTCAGCTTGCGTGAAATAAATGCCATCGACACTTGTTCTTGTGTGTGCATTACTACTCATGTACTGCACTAGTATTATAACGGATTAGTATTGTGTTCAGCCGTCACACATCTCAGCCGAATCTCTTCACTCACTCACTGGT